ACCCCCGGGGAGAATGAAAGAGACACACAAAAGGCTGGAGAGGACTTGAAGGGTGGTAGCCGGATCTATGGATGGTGGAAGGAGGCTAGCTGGAGCTAGTGGTGGTGGGTGGTGGCGGCTTACCTAAGGCTAGGGTTAAAGTTAAAGCTTGAAAGGCAAGGGATGAAACAAAATTGAAATTTTATGAATGAATGAATGAATTTGTAATAAATCTTTTCTTTTTGTATAAGCGGGGGTCAAATAACAAATATTTGAATGGTATTAGCCGCACCTATATGTATAGAAAAAAGAAAAACAAAAATAGACACACACAAAATAATAATAATAATAATAATAATAATAATAATAATAATAATAATGTGTGGCTATTTTTGGGGGGAGGGAAGGGGGTTGAGAAAAGGAAAGGAAGGAGAAAAAAGAAAAAATATATTTGCAATAATAAAATTTGAATTCAAGTATAACCCTTGATAATGGGGTGACTCAACTAAACCCTTGATCTCGGCTAAAATTCGTTTTAGGTGGTATAGAATAACACATAAAAAGAATTTGGATTATATAATTATTTTTTCTTATTAATTCAATTTTTTGCAATTTTCTATACATGATTGTTGTTTAATGGAGGCACTAATGTTAATAGCAATGATAACTCCAACAGAAACACATGTGGATTCATTTCAATATATTTATCAAAATGGTATTGTCACATTATTGTTATTATTATAATTTTTTTTTTTGGTATAAATTTTATGTATGGATAGTATTTTTTATAATATATTATTAAATTCCAATCATTTGGACTTAAAATTAAAAGGGTCAATTACACTAACACCCCCTTAATTATCAGTAAATATTAGTTTACCTCTCATATATGAGCCTGTAACTATATTGACTTCATCAATTATGAAAATTGTATAAATATACTCTTTTTGGAGGTGGTCTAAAGGGGGTCGCAAGGGTAAAGTGATACATTTTGTAGTCGAGGAGATCAAAATGTAAATTAATTGATGAGAAAATAAAATAATATTTACTAATAGTTGAAGGGTCTTGGTGCAATATCCCAAATTAAAAAAAAAAATAGTTATATGAGTCTTTCAGGGTCAATTATCACTTATATTTATGAAGTTGAGACGTATAGATTCCGACTGCAAAGGAAATGAGCCAAATCCACCACACACATGTGCCAATAGTTGAAGGGCCTTGGTGTAATATCCCAAATTAAAAAAAAAAGAAAAAAAAAAGAAAAAAAGAAAAAGAAAAAAAGGGGTTATATGAGTCTTTTAGAGTCAATTATCACCTATATTTATGAAGTTGAGACGTATAGATTCCGACTGAAAAGAAATGAGCCAAATCCAACACACATATGCTAATAGCTACAATGGTAGACACAGTCACCCGCCCATTTGCTAGATTAGTCAATGCATTAGTTGTGCCTAATCAAACACACAGCTGGCTCAACTCATCATCATCATAATCATCATCATGTGCATATAGTTGATGCCAACCGATATTGATTGGGACATTTGTATTGCAAATTTGTGACTAAACACCAAAAATAGAAGTGGGACTACACCCACCCACAAGCACTTCTCTTATTAAATCCCATGCTTCAAAATTTGTATTACATGTGCTGATGTATTATTTTTTTTTGATCGGCATGTGCTGATGTATTATTGATGTCATTACTGTTATTATATAAGAATTTCAGATAAATAAAATTATTTCCTCATCAATTAAAACATTGCATTTTTCTATTGGGTATTAATTACATAACCCTTCTTCTCATTAATTTTCATATCAAATTTACTCATCACCAGAGACGGTACTTTACATGTCACATTCATATACTATGCCGTACAATACATGGACAAGAAAGATAGACATAATTGCTAGAATTTTCAATAGTTTATTGTATTTATGTAGCAAGATATCAGGAAGGTATAATATGATATGCACATTTCGTATAAAAATTTAATCATCACAACATTACATTTTTCCCCCTAAAAAGTTAATAAAATGAGGTAGCTTAATGTTACTACTTGATATGAACACAGGCCCAGGTTGTTCTTCTCTTGCCTATGGCGCAATGGAAGAGCTTGGACCATTCCGTGTCCATAGTGATGGCAAAACTCTCTACAGAAATAGATTTGCATGGAACAAAGGTATATGATCATCTTTCAGAAAAATTACATGTACAAAAAATATGAAGAAAAATCAATGTGCACTTCATTTTTATTTTAGGTATACTCAAAATGAATGTCACACTCGCACATTGATTTATTTATTTTTTTCCTCGTCTATGCATTTTTAATTTTTTTTTTTCTGAGAACCATGTGTTTTGAATATCTAAATTTTCTTATATATTCGAGTGTGGGGTGTTTACATACAGCCGCAAATGTATTGTTCTTGGAATCCCCAACTGGAGTAGGGTTTTCATACTCGAATACAACATCAGATTATGTGAGTGAGGGTGACAAAAGAACAGCTTCAGATAATTATGTGTTCTTGTTGAATTGGTTGGAGAGGTTTCCTGAGTACAAAACCAGGGATTTTTACGTTGCTGGTGAAAGCTATGCTGGCCATTATGTGCCTCAGCTTGCATATACTATCCTTCACTATAACAAGGACCCTAACAACACCTTTATCAACCTCAAAGGGATCATTGTAAGTCCCTTTCTCTCTCTCTCTCACACACACACACTTGAAACTAGGTCCCTAGCAATTACAATTCTAAAATGTTTAATTAGGTGCATAAAGCAAAGCTAAGAGGTGATGTGGATACCTTTATTTTTGTTCTACGTATATTTTTGTGCATGTAACACGGCTCAGAGATATACAAACATGGGTGGTCCATCCATGTGTTTTGTCCACATTGGAAGTTGGACTAATGTGGATAGAATAGAAGCATAGGCCAGTGCATATTCTTCCTAGCAAATTACAAGAACGAGAGTACAATTGAACAATATTTAACGAATTTACAAATATTGTTTACTCTAAATAGGAAAACTATAGAATTCTATTGCCACATAATTGGTGCATAGTCCAATCAGGCACTCAGGCCAGACAAAACTGACCAGCCTGGACCTTTGCCAACTTCCACCTGTGAGTGGTGCTTATTGTTCCTTTCTCATAACATATAATTATATGAAAGAAACTTAGAATGCTAGAAATCCAAAAATAAGTAAATAAATAAAATAAAATAAAATTAATCTTAGAAATGTGAGTAGTATAGTGTCGGTGATACTCAAAATGAATCCTATCTACAAATTTCATAGGGTAAATTACACAGGACTGTCCTTGAGGTTGAAGAAAATATAGTAAGTTGCATAGTTTTGGCATTATTACACTGACATTCCTTTCAGTAAGGTTAAGGGACCAAAACTAATGCAAATAGTGTAAAAACACAATAATAAATAAAATAAAATATATATTTGAATGTAAAAGATATGACAATATCATTTTTTATCTATATGATTAACGAATTTTTAATAAAAAGAAAATTAAGTGTTTTCTGAATTAAAACCTTTCTTTTTTTTTTCTTTTTTTTTGTGAATTAAAACCTTGTTTTGTGAATTAAAACCTTAAATGAGCTCAATACAATTACTATGCCAACCTCTAGTGCTTATTGTATTTTTTTCATAACATTAGGGGAGATCAGTGTAATTTACTAATTTAATATTATGACAATAGTTGAAATATTTTTAAGGATGTAGCATTATTAGTTTAGCAAGTGTAATTATATTAAAAAAAATAAAAATAAAAATAAAAAAAACTACATATCATAGATCATGAAAGAAAGCTGTTATATATCATAACACAAATTTTACCCCTTTTTTTGGGGTCACTTTTCATATGAATCTAATCAACAAATGCAATCCTATCTACAAATTTCATAGGGTAAATTACACATGACTGTCCTTGAGGTTGAAGAAAATATAGTAAGTTGCATAGTTTTGGCATTATTACACTGACATTCCTTTCAGTAAGGTTAAGGGACCAAAACTAATGCAAATAGTGTAAAAACACAATAATAAATAAAATAAAATATATATTTGAATGTAAAAGATATGACAATATCATTTTTTATCTATATGATTAACGAATTTTTAATAAAAAGAAAATTAAGTGTTTTCTGAATTAATTTTTTTTTTTTTTGGTCATTAAAACCTTGTTTTGTGAATTAAAACCTTAAAGGAGCTCAATACAATTACAATTCCAACCTCTAGTGCTTATTGTATTTTTTCATAACATTAGGGGAGATCAGTGTAATTTACTAATTTAATATTATGACAATTGTTGAAATATTTTTAAGGATGTAGCATTGTTGTTTCAGCAAGTGTAATTATATTAAAAAAATAAAAATAAAAATAAAAAAACTACATATCGTAGATCATGAAAGAAAGCTGTTATATATCATAACACAAATTTTACCCCTTTTTTTGGGGTCACTTTTCATATGAATCTAATCAACAAATGCCATTTTCACATGTAGATTCAGTAAAATCAAAATCAATAAAATCAATAAGAAAAACTGGTCTACATAGTTATATTTTGATTTAAGATTTGAAAAAAAGTTTGTGGATAAAAAGAAAAAGAAAAAGAAAAATTAGAAGGAAAAAAAAAAAAAAAAAAGTGACCAATATTTCCCTATACAAATTCATCCTCAAATCTTAAATCCGAATATAAGAAATGAAAAACTGATGACATTGATGGGATGATGAATTGGAATTTGCATGATAACATTAGCATGTTGGTGTAATTGTACATAAAGTAGTAGTAGGTTGGTGATTTGTGTTGTGTGTAACGTACGAAGTGCAGATTGGGAATGCACTAATAAATGATGAGACAGATACGAAAGGAAGGTTTGATTACTTTGCAAGCCATGCTCTCATTTCCGACCAAACTTCATATAAAATCCGGAAATTCTGTAATTTCTCACCCAATGCCACCATTCAGTCCAATGAATGCTACATTGCAGCTGCTGAAGTTGACAACGAAATCGGCAATATTGATATCTATAACATCTATGCTCCTTTATGCACCTCTTTCAATATCACTCCATTTCCCAAAAAGGCTACTGTGAGTCTCTCTCTCTCTCTCTCTCTCTCTCTCTCTCTCTACATTTTACTATTCAATTTTAATGTTACAAGAATACTCAATGTTGTTGATAAAAAAAGAATACTCAATGTTGTTCAAAAAAAGAATGCTCAATGCCATTTTATTTTACGCTCCGTTATTTTGGTAGAATTTTTTTTCATAAAAACAATTTTAGAAAATATTTTTTTATGTTTAGTTGTATTTTTGAAACTAATGTACTAATGGTTGCATTAGTGGTGGTAGCGGTGGCAACGACAAGGTAGAAGTGGCAGTGAAGGTGTTAGGTTGGTGGTAGCGATAGTTGTGCAGTAGTAGTGATGTGGTGGTGGTGATAGTAATGTGGTGAAGGTTATAGTGGCGGCAAGGCCGGCTTTGCTTTTTTTTGAGGCATAAAGCATGCTTCTAATATGAGGGCTCTTATACACACACATATGAATTGATTTTTTTAATCATTTTTGGTAAAATCAGATTAGTTGGTAATTCAAATTTTATTTAAAAATTTTGAACTTTGCATTTTTAGTAGCAAAATTACTAATCAAGCTTGTTTTAGCCAATTTATTAACCAAACTCATTCAATCTTTTCTTGTAACATAGTTCACTGAATGTATGATTTAATCAACTTTCAATTTGAAACATTTCTTTTTCCCATAAACAATTGTAAGTAATAACTAAAATCAATAATATTCTATAAATAATACATACATTTGGAAAATAACCATCAATTAGTTTTAAATATCAATACTTTTTTTTAGGGTTTCTTTTTTATGAACAAGTATAACAAAAAAAAAAAAAATACTTATTTGATATTTTTTTAGTCTTTTTTCCAACCAATTTGCCGGGGGGCCCAAAGCGGCCACTTCTTCCACTTGTGCCAAAAGCCGGCACTGAGTGGCAATGGGTTTAGGGCGGTGGAGGTGGTGGCAGCGGTGATGGTGGTAATGGCGGTGGTGGTATGTTGGTGATGGTAATGGTGGTAATGTGGTGGCATTTATAAAAATTTGATTCGGAAAATGTTTTCTGCTTTTTAAAGGTAGAAAATATTTTCTGATCAAATAGACTTGTTTTTTTGTTAACCATAAAAAAAAAAAAATTATGTTGACCTTTATTTTCCGTTGTATCAAATGCTAAAAGGTACAAAAAGTATTTTTTGAAAAATGTTTTCTATCAAAACAAACGGAGTGATATGGTAAACTTAGCATTACTCTTTAAAATTATTATTTTTGATCATAATACTTCAACCCACAAGCCTTTTTGGCTCTGTATTTTCTGTCAAATTTTTCTTCGAATTGTGATAACTTTAATTAAGAATATAGAAACATCTTTGTGAAACCACATGAGGCCTGATAAATTAAGGTGGTTTAACTCCCCTACCATTGGTGATCTAGTTGAAGAGGTACAATTGGGCTTTGGTGGACCTATTTTGAAGGTTAATTTCGAATTTATTGAGAAGAGCATTCATGTATAAAAAAAATAAAAAATATATTAATTGAACATTTATAATCAAATAATTGAAATACATTTATCTTAGAAAAAATACTAAACTATTTATTCTGAAAACTATAATTGCCGTTCAATTTTATAAGACACATGATCTGAACATGTAATTATGAATATTTTTTTAACCTAATTTTTTTTATATATAGATTATCTTCTCAAAATGTACACACCAAACCCAAAAACAAATTCTTTTTGCGCAACAAAAGTTGTGTCTGTTTGGTGTCCTTTTCTTTGGTTTACCAAGAGCTTGTTGTCGAAAACTATTTTTTAGAAGAAAATATTTTTGAAACAATCCAATTTTTAAAATCTACCTTTCTTCTGAGCTTATATACACTAGGTTCGCTATATTTTGTACTCTTACACTTTTAATTATAAAGTTCAATCTTTTATATTTTAAATTGAAACAAACGGAGCGTTATGGTAAACTTAGCATTACTCTTTACAATTATTGTTTTTGATCATAATACTTCAACCCACAAGCCTTTTGGCTCTGTATTTTCTGACAAATTTTTCTTCGAATTGTGATAACTTTCATTAAGAATATAGAAACATCTTTGTGAAACCACATGTGGCCTGATAAATTAAGGTGGTTTAACTCCCCTACCATTGGTGATCTAGTTGAAGAGGTACAATTGGGCTTTGGTGGACCTATTTTGAAGGTTAATTTCGAATTTATTGAGAAGAGCATTCATGTATAAAAAAAATAAAAAATAGATTAATCGAACATTTACAATCAAATAATTGAAATACATTTATCTTAGAAAAAATACTAAACTATTTATTCTGAAAACTATAATTGTCGTTCAATTTTAAAAGACACATGATCTGAACATGTAATTATGAATATTTTTTTAACCTAATTTTTTTTTTTATATAGATTATCTTCTCAAAATGTACACACCAAACCCAAAAACAAATTCTTTTGCTCAACAAAAGTTGTGTCTGTTTGGTGTCCTTTTCTTTGGTTTACCAAGAGCTTGTTGTCAAAAACTATTTTTTAGAAGAAAATATTTTTGAAACAATCCAATTTTTAAAATCTACCTTTCTTTTGAGCTTATATACACTAGGGTTCGTTATATTTTGTACTCTTACACTTTTAATTATAAAGTTCAATCTTTTATATTTTAAATTGAATAAAATTGTAATCTTAATTTTTCTTTCATTTAATGTTTTTTTTTTTGAACGGCAAATAGAAGGCTTTATTGATGAAAACATACAGAGTATGAAAAATACATCAATAAAGAGGAGCTAGGAGCTAGAACAAAGCTCCAACCTCCTAGTTGGTGAGAAACCAACAGAGAAAAAGAAAAGAAAACAAACCAAGAAAACCGGACTACATCAAAACAGAGCAAAAAAGCAGAGTAAAATGTAGTCCTCAACAACACTGGAACAGTCCTCAACAAAGCAGTCCTCAAAGTTTTGTAGCAACAAGAAGCCCTTTCAAGATAGACAGAAAAAATGCAGAATTGAGACCAACACCACTAGTAGCAGAACAGAACCAATCCCACTGAAACAGACCAACCCCACTGGTATTACAAGTAATAGAGAGGGTAACAAACCAACAGATACCATTAGTACAAGATAACAGAAAGCGCACTGCTGAGTATAGCTCAGATACCACTGTTGAGTATAGCATCAGAAAAACAGATTGAGAAAGCAAATTCACACCCATCAAAAGATACACTTCCTAATGCCAGAGATGTTATGGAGGAAATCATTTATGGAGAATGAAAGGACCTTGGTAGAGTCCTTAAGCCAAATTGCTAACCGTATGATTATGAGCTCCTGCAACTCCTGCATGTTTTGTTGTGAATCTCAAAAGAGATGCTCATTTATGAGCTTTCATAATGACCAAAGGGTAACTAGTGGTATTGCACGCCAAATTCTCTGTTCATGTTTCCTACAAGAGTGACCTACCCACCATTGCAACAAACCCTCTACAGAGCCTGGAGCCACCCACAGAGCCCCCTCACCATTGTAGCAACCCAGTTCAGACTCTCTACACCAGAGGACAATGAAGAAGCACATGTTCAATAGTTTCCTGCTATGATTTGTAGAAAATACATGGAGTAGATACAGACTTATCCAGCACACCAATCCGTTGCAAGAACACAGAGGTTTTAACCTTTTGTTTTCAAGCGAGCCAACCGAAGAACTACACTTTGGGAGGTAGATATTTTAGCCAGACCAAACTGTAGGAACTGACATTACCACCATAAGCAAGATTAGAATGGTTGTAGAAAACAGATACAAGAGATTACCCGGATTTTGCTGCTAACCATGTAGCACTATCTTGGACCAACAGATTCAGTGCAGGTGTTTATTAATCTAAGAAGCTTCTCTTTCTCCCAATCAAATAGAGACCTTCTAAAGGAAAACAACCAATTATTAGAGGAGACATCCACAAAATCTTTGAGTATTTCCTCCTTATTATTAGATAATTGGAATAGCCTTGGAAACTCTTCTTTAAGACATAAGGCTCCATACCATTGATCACTCTAGAACCTAATTCTACAATCATTCCCTACTTTGAGCTGTAGATTACTAACATAGAACTCCATAAGAGACTGTTGATGTTCAACAGCACCTATGATACCACCCCAGATTTTAGAGAAGGTGGTGCTAGAGCTAAGATTAGGTAGCCAGGCCCTACCTTGAAAATTGTACTTGCTGCAAATAAGCCTCTTCCATAATGAATCGTGTTCAGAGGCAAACCTCCACTGCCACTTTAGAAGTAAACACACATTCACATCCCTAAGCCTTCTAACACCCAGCCCACTTTGTTTTAAGCTTTTTGTGACCTCTGTCCATTTCACAAGATGGATTTTCCTCCTTAGATCTGAACCACCCATAGAAAAGTAGCTTGTATTGTATCTAGCTCCTTAGCTATTCCTTCAGGCAACCTGAACAGAGACAAGAAAAACACAGGTAGACTTGATAGCACTGCTTTCACCAAGATTAACCTCCCTGCAAAAGAAAAAAGCCTCATTTTCCAGCCAGCAAGCCGCAATTTGAACTTATCAATAACTGGTTTCCAAAACTTTTTCCTCCTTGGATTAGCACCTAATGGCAGACCTAGATACTTAAGAAGTAAGTTTTGGGTCTTACAATTTAACAGGGAAGAAAACTCAACCAGAATAGAATCAGGGACACCAATCCCACAAACTATACTTTTGTGGTAATTGATTTTGAGACTAGATACTACTTCAAAAAACTTGAGGATCCTTTTTAAGCTCAAAACTTCTGATAGCTCCGCTTCACAGAATAGAAGAGAGTCATCTGCAAATTGAAGATGGAAGAGTTGCACTTGATTGTTGCCTATAAGTACCCCTTTTAGCAAACTCAAACCCCTTGCTCTTTGAAGAAGAATGTTTAATGCTTTTACAACCAAGTTAAAAAGGAGTGGGGATAAGGGATCGCCTTGCCTGAGACCTTTCTGGGGCCTAAACTCCTTGGTTGGTGAGCCATTCACAAGTATTGAGATCCTTGCAGTAAAGACACATTCCTTAATCCAAGAAGTCCATTTGGAACCAAATCCAAAATTTTCTAACATTGAAAAGAGGAAGTTCTAATTGATAGAATCAAATGCCTTTTCAAAATCTATTTTTAGCAGTAGCCCTGACTTTTTAGATTTAAACCAACCATCCACAACTTCATTAGCAATCAACACACCACCAAGAATATTCCTACCACCCAGAAAGGCTAACTATGTGTCACCAATGATCATGGGCATGACCTTTTTGAGCCTGGATACAAGAACTTTAGAAAGTATTTTGTACAAAGACCTAACTAAGCTTATAGGTCTAAACTCACCTAAAGTGACAGCTTTATCTAGCTTTGGAATTAAAGTAATGAAGGTACTGTTCAAACCAGAGCCTAGTCTGCCATTGACATGAAATTCTTTCATAAAGTTGATCATCTGCTCCTTAAGCACTTTCCAGTATTTTTGAAAAAACATCAAATTGAAGCCATCTGGGCCAGGAGCTTTGTTTCCATTATAATCCATAACTGATGACCAGATTTCTTCTTTAGTGAATTTTGCCTCAAGCATATGGAAAGAGTCACTAAGTCTTACACTCTTAAAATTTCCAGCAAGCATTGGTCTGTTGCTCCAAACTTCAGTGAAATGATTTGAAAAGTGAGTCCACACTGCATGTTTAACTTGACTTGGCTCCTCTAAAACCACATCCCCCACTTTGATGGAGTTGAGAGTGTTGCTAGTTTTTCTATTGCTGGCCATAACATGGAAGAATCTAGTGTTCCTGTCACCCTTCAGATCCCAATCTAACCTTGATTTTTGGAGCCATTCCCATTCTAACTTCCTACTCAACATCCACATGTCATTTCTTTTTTCTCTTTGCAGCTTCAATTCAACCTCCTCCAATGGTCTAGATTCAACTGTCAGGTTAAAGTCATGAAGTTCAGTTTCAATGGCTTGTAATTTGAATTCAACATTGCTATAAACCTCTTTACTCCATGTTTTTAATATCAACTTGAGAGTATGTAATTTTCTCTGCAGAATGAAACCAGATGACCCAGAAAAATGAGATTCCGGCCATGTTTGTTCCACTAAAGGAGCAAGATGCGAGTGCAACAACCAAGCATTTAAAAACTTGAAAGGCTTGGGTCCCCAATCCCTAACATCCTCCATTAGCACAATAGGACAATGGTCAGATGCAATTCTAGGAAGGCCCCATAGTTTGAACTTGTCTCTCTCCAGCCATTCAAGGCTTAAAAGGAACCTATCAATATGACTCCATTTACTCCCATCAAAAGCATTGCACTAGTTGTATTTTCTGCCTAACATTTGCAAGTCCACCACCTCACATGTATCTATGAATTCGCTGAATTCTTTCATGACCCTATCCCTTATTGATATACCTACTCTTTCCTCGTGTTTCTAATCTCGTTGAAATCACCACCAAGACACCAGGGTTTGGGAAATGAATCCTGCAGATTTAACAGAATCTGCCAGAGTTTCTTTCTCCTAATGACATCATTAGGAGCATAAATATTAACAATTACACGGTCGAATGAGTTGTAGAGCTTACCTGATAGTAGAATAAAGTTTCTATTGCTACAAAACTCTGAGAGTTGGAAAACCTCAGGGTTCTAGAGGCAGAGTAAACCACCTACCATCCCTTCAGCATCCACAGCCATAGACTCCATCCTATCATTGGGCCAAAGACTTTTCTTTCATTTAATGTTAGTAAGGCTTATGGAACTTACTATGTGAGTTATAAGTGATATTTTTCTCGACTCATTAATACTTTTATACTTTTATCATATAAATTCTTACACTTTCATCAAAATATTACTTTGGTGATTTTTATTTTTAATTTTTTTCCAATCTCCTTAATGATAGATGAATGGACGAGTAACATTTCAACTTAACTTAAAATGTAAAAAGTTGATTATCACAATGAAATTGAAATGACCAAAATGAGATTTTGTTGAAAGTATAAAGGTGCTAAGTGTAATTAACTCTATATAATATAATACTAAAAATTATATATACCAATATTTTAGGAACATATCTTAACCATATTGATACCTTATTTTTTTAATAGTACTCAAGCCAAACGTTTATTTCTGTAATTTTTATGCCTATTGGTCCAAGCTTAAATCTTTTTAGCTCAAAAGGACGTTGATCTATCCAAAAGGATACCCATCTATCGTATATCTAAATGTCACCTATCTGTATGCGTGTCACATATATATCCAAATGCCACATGTTTGTACATGTATCATTTATCTATTCACCTATTTGTCTATCTCACCACCACTAGCTGCAGCCACCGGCCACTATTGCCAACCGCTTGCAACTTTTCCAACACTGGCTACTTTTTTTGACAACATTTTAGCGCGTGTTTTATCACCAAAAAAGATTAAACCTTAGACCAAATAATATATGACCCCATAAGTTTGAACCTTTTATTAATTAACATTTTTTTAGGAGAAATTTCAAATAAGGATAAAATTTGAAAATTAATTACAAATTGATGATAAACTTTATCAATATTAATAATTAAAATTATAAACTTTTCCATCCATATGTAATAATTTTTTCAAATTACAACTAAGGGTAATTTTCTCTTTTTTTCTTTAAATGTTATAGTATTCCTATCTTATCATATCCTTTATCCATATTTCATAGACCTCTGAGGGTGAATATTTGTTGCAGGTGTTGAATTTTGATCCATGCAGTGATTATTATGTGTATGCTTATTTGAATCGTGCTGATGTTCAAGAGGCCCTACATGCCAATGTAACCAAACTCAGTTATGATTGGGAACCATGCAGGTATGTACTACTATGTGCTTGGCTCTCTATCTCTGCTTGTGCCCAATAAGAGTATGAAATTATTAGCTGAAATGAAACTTAACAAAATAATTGCAGTCTAGTCATCAGACGTTGGGAAGATAGTCCATCAACAATTATTCCCCTTCTCCAAGAGTTAATGGCAAATGGACTACGAGTGTGGGTATTTAGGTAAACACACACCCTTCCTTCTTTCTCTTCATCATCATTCATCATTGTTGTCCTCATTATTATTACTTCTATTTATAATGGTAGTGGGTAAAATCATGTCGTATATATGTTTTCCATTCTTGTTAAGAAAATGACATTCACTTTTGTAGAAGGAGAGAAATTAAAACGCTAACTTAATTATTAAAGTCGCCTCAATTAGGCGACTAAGTATCACTAAATGAATAGGGGTCAAAACTCAAAAATGGGCCAATAAGAAGACCGAACCAGATTCGACCCCTTCGGACCAAATGGCCCAGACCAAGAAGTGACCAAGGGAACTTGTTGAGGTACTACTTGCCGAGCTTCACTTGCTGAGGGAGACCTTACCTTTGGGCCACCATTTTTTATTATGACACCACCTTGTCACTTATTGTCACTTGCTAAGGGAAAGGGAGTCGTAGCAATTCCAACCTCTGAGGCACAACAACTTTCGAGATAGGCCTCCTCCATACAAGATAATGTACAGACACTTGGCGTTGATAGTAGGCACCAAGCCATTAATAGCCAAGGGCTGATAGTAGGCCCGAAACTCATATAGCTTGGCACTAATAACAGCCCCAAAGTTTATTGGCTGGAGCTGATAGCAAGTACCAAAAATACCAGTATACCATGGCGACCTTGTGAAGATGGGAACAGGGTAGCCCGAAAGTAAGGGACTCCCTTTCCATATACCTAGGTCAAGGACTTGACTTGGTTGCATTAGCAGGACCAAGAAAGCCCCATTGAGTTTGGTACAAGGCATAACCTTTGTTGTGACCTGTGTCTTGGGAAATTAGGGAGTTTGTGGTTAAGTGACTAAGGGTGAAAGAGTCACTGAGGTAGATACCAGTATGGCTAATAGCAGGTCATAAGTCCTGAGAGTACATGTTTTGGGAAACCGAGTTGAGAAGGCAGGTGTCGAGGCAACTAGAACACCTCATTTTAAACCCTTTACAGCTTTGAACTATGGACCTACTGTGGTCCAAATACATGATATACGTAAGACTTCACTTTTTTAAAGTGAAAAATGCTCATGATAGATGGACTGACCCCTTGATTACTCTCTCCCTAGCTTCTACGTTCACAACTCAATCTCTAACTACTACAACATGGAATAAAAATTGAATGTTATGATGTTATTCACATGTAATAATTATATTTTAAAATAAAATATCATTTGAATGCCATTATTTAGATATAGTTTTAATCTAATAATTATAACTATATAAGATTCACAATGCCTACATCACATGCAGAGATAATTGTAGTGTGATCAAGAATATCATTTAGTAGGGTCATCATCAACTAGTAGTAATTAATTTCATAGGTTATATTTTTAAATTTACAAAATGTATATTGGAATCAACTTTCATATGATGAACTATATTTTCTTACATTCTTAGTAATATTAACAAAGCAATTTGAACTAATCAAATGGCATATGTAAAACAAAAAGACATTAATTACTATTCCTTTAACCCAAAAAAAGAAGAAGGATATATTTACAATTCTATAATTGTCCACTACAAGTTTTGCATATTTTTTAAAACGTTACAAGACAACCTCATTATTTATATTGTCAAACACATATTTTTCAATATATATAAACAAGTAATCATTTATCCACATTTTTTATTTTTTTATTTTTTTTTGCGCATCCCCCCTTGTCATAGAATTTCTATACAGGTGTTTTTTTAAATAAAAAAAAAATCAAAATCATAATTCAATGGTACTTAGATGCATGCTATGCCCTTGAAGGACAGAGCTAGGATTTTTGACGTAACCATTGCTCTATGCATTACAATCTAGATCGGGCAAGAACTCCAACAAAATAATCACGTTGAGTTGATTTTTATAGAAAAATCCGAATAATAAGTGATTTACTATTTCAGTTTGGATTGAGAAAATGTGGAATTTATTATTTTTCGAAATCCAAAGTTTGTGCTATTGCTACATCATGTCACTTGTATACTAAATTTTTACTCGTGTGAATTGAGATATATGTACTACTAAGCTATGCCTTCTGGTTGTAGTCATTTCGGTCCTCCTCTTAATTTTGATGAAATATTTCACTTTTCGTTGAAAACAAACCGAAAACAGTTCACTACGACAAAAAGCAGATTTGGCGACTAAAACTGGATTTTTCATCGCTGAAAGTAGTAGAATTGGCGACTAAAATGGAATTAGTCGCCAAAATTGGTCACTTTTGCCGACTAAAAGACTTTAGTCGCCAAATATAAGGGTTTTAGCGACTGAAAGTCAATTTAGTCGCTGAATATAGGGGTTTTAGCGACTAAAAAAATTTTAGTAGCCAAAGGTTAAGGTTTTTGGCGACTAAAAACATTTAGTAGCCAAAAGTATAGCTTTTGGCGACTAAAAAACAGTTTCGTCGTTGATTCTATGTGTTTTTGCCAACTAAAAACTGTTTGGTCACTGAAAGTCAAGCTTTTTGGCTACTAAAAAAAAAATAGTAGCTAAAAACTGTCAATTGGCGACTAAAATTCACTTTAGTAGCCAAAAGGGGACGTTTTTGGTGACTAAAAACAGGTTTAGTCGCCGAAAGGGGTAGTTTTTAGGCGGAACATATTTCTTTAGCGACGAAAAATTAATTAGTAGCCCAAAATTATAGAATTGGCGACTAAATAATGGATTTAGTCGCCAAAAGTGATCTAATTTTTTTTTAGTAAATAATTTATTTTTTACATAAATTATATTGAATATATATAATTATATTTATATATATAGTTTTGTATTAATACCGGTCAAAGTAATATATAAATAATATATGTTGTAATTATATTTATGTGTTGGTTTAGTGGCATAGTGGGGGGGAGTGTGTTGTAAAGCTTTGGAACCTAGAGGTCTCAGGTTCGAAACGTGGGAGGTCTCAGGCACAGAGGGTAAACTCTGTGGTTGCCAAAAGGTTGACTATTGGCGACGAAAAAAATAGTCGGCAAATGTATAAATAAAAAAAAAATTCACTATTGGCGACTAAAACTTTAGTCACTAAATGTATAATTTCCAAAAATGGAATTGACTATTGGCGACAAATTTTTTGGTCGCTGAAGACATGTATATTGCCGACTAACACTTTTTTAGTCGCCAAAGGTATTGGCGACCATGTATTCGCGACAAAACCGGTGACTAAAATATTTAGTCGGGGAAAGTGAAAATTCGATTTTTGGCGACTAAAAAAAGACTTTTGACGACTAAAAATTTAATCGCCAAAGGTGTGTTTTCTTGTAGTGATTGAACGAGGGAAAAGTTATAAATAAATTAAAATAATCAAATTGTTATGAATGACACATTGAAACAATTAGCCTATATCTCCATTAGTTTTGTACATAGTGAAAATCTAAATTATTGAGTACATTTCTGTTGGTTGGTTGCAGCGGTGACATAGATGGGAGGATACCAGTGACTTCAACCAAGTATTCTATTAATAAAATGAAGCTTCATCTTAAGACTCCATGGCATCCTTGGTATCTCAATGGAGAGGTAATTTATGTTATTTTATATTTTGTTTTCATTTTCAATTTTTTTTTTTATTTTTTTTTATTTTTTTTATAATTAATTTCATTTGTGGTCGTTGTGTTAATGACAATATAATATGGAGGAAGGAGTGTTTAAAATGATTAAGAATCACATGTGGGCTCACACTTATTTTGTCCCAAAGCAAATTTGTCAAACAACTTTAAGGAAAGTGTTCGGATATTTAATTTGTGAAAGAATTTATAGGGCAAAATAGAGAGAAATGAAGTATTCCTTCTCTTTTCTCTGTTTTTCTTTTCTTTTTAACAAATTTCAAAATTTAAATATTTAATCTCATGATTTAAAAATAAAATATAAATAAATAGCTGGTTCTTTTAAGTAACTCTCAATCACCCCACCAATTATGTGAGCATGTGAAACCTGATTTGAGAGATTGAGAATTCAAAACTTGGGGCATAAAGATTACAAGACTTCGGGGGTACTTCATCATCAGGCAAAGAGAAAAAGGAGGTTCAAAAACAAAACAAAGAAACAAAAAAACACAAAAGGTTATGCTTTTTAAAAAGGAAATGCATGTATATCACAAATTCCTTTTGTAGTTTTATATCTCCCAAATTCATTAAAGTTGTTTTCCTATTATGAATTTGTTAAGAGAAAAAACAAAGAGCAAAAGAAATAAATTTTTCTGCAATTGGCTTGACTCCAATACTATGTTGTGAGAGGTTTTTGAGCCCCACAATAGACGTTTTGTGCTAGTGTCGTGGGACTCACAAGTTTCTCCTTGCTAAATGCTAATGAAAAATGCTTGGTAGCTTGAATTTGTGTGGCTCAAATGGCTCGAATATATCAAAACAAAGTTGTTTTACCCTAAAAAAGACATCGTTTTGAGACATTCGAGCCATTCGTTCTATGAAAATTCAGGCTACCAAACATGTTGAATGCTAATACATTGGGAAAAAGCAGGGCTTGGGTACAAATTTCTCTATAACCTCCAGATCAAACAAAGCCTAAACAAAACTGTAAAAAATTATTAAAAAAATGGGTCCTTCTACAATACACTTTTTTTTGTGTGTGTGTGGATCATATACAAGTTATAACTATTTGTAGTGTTGATACCACAAATATCATAACTAAATCACTTTATGGCATAACTGAAAAACACATGATGAGACAAAACCAAATACCACTAGATATAATAAAATATGTCTTCGGTCATGACTAAAATAATAACCACAATAGATCATAAACCAACGTCATAATAAGTCAAAACCAACAAAAAAATAAGTAATAATCAAATATCACTTGAGGCATAATCAGAAACTTATGTCATAATCAAAATAAAAATCACAATACGTCATATTTAAGTCGTAACCGACACTATAATGAGTCATAACTAAATTATAACAAATATCACAATTAATCATAACCAAAGATGACAATATAATCGTAATTAAACATATGATACACCCTTTTTTAAAATGTATATTATAGAATTTTTCTCAATAGAAAACTAAAGAAAAAAAGAAAATTGCTTACCCATGTGATATTGTTTGTATTTGTGTGTGTGTATGTATGATCAGGTTGGTGGGTACACTGAAGTATACAAGGGGGACCTAACATTTGCAACAGTAAGAGGAGCAGGGCACCAGGTTCCAAGCTACCAGCCTGCAAGGGCACTTTCACTTATTATGCACTTCCTGGCTGGGACACCTCTCCCTAATTCTACAACACTTCTTCAATAACTATTACACCTTTTTTTTTTTCCTTCCCTATTCTACTAGAATAAAGATTGGGACCCCCTTTCCCCCCTCCCTTTGACCCCCTTTCTTTTTTGATTTGTCACTTTTTCTTTTTCTTCTTCTTTTTTTTTCTTCTCCTCCAATCACCACCCGCCACGTGTGTGTGGGGGTGGTGCGGGTTGAAGTTTGAGGGGATCTAAATCACTGCTGATTCTACTATAATCAACACTGTTTTCTGCTTGTACCAAGGCCTCTATTTATTTTTTTGTTTTTGTTTTTCAATTAGATTTTAGGTCTAATTATAGCATTTGATTAAGGTTTATCACCATTTTTCATTTCATTTCCAATGGTAATTTATCACCTAACTTTACATGAACTTCAGATTGTGGTTCACTTCCCTTGTAGACTAAAGCAACTGTAAACCTACCAGACTTATCTGCATTCCAGTTTAATGTGTCTGACAGTCCCTCCCTGAGAACTGGTGCGTTTTGTATCATCATCTTCAACCTCCTCAGTTCTTCACTTTCCCATTGAAACAGAGTTCTTCTAAAGACCAATCCCCACTCTTCATTCCCACCTTTCCTGCTAGTGATCGCTACCTTTATCAAGAGTCACAGAGAATAATCTAGGAAATACATCTTTTAAACACCCATTGCCAACCCAATTATCAAGCCAAAATTTTGTTCTCCTCTCATCACCAATACTAATTTTTATGTTAGCCTTGAAAAAATTCACCACCTCAGGGTAAGATCCAGCAACCCCCAATATATCTCTCCAAACCATAGACAACCTTGTACTTGCAACAGGTAATGGCCACCAACCTCCACCACCCTCTGGGTATTTGCTACAAATCACTTTTTTCCAGAGTGTCATTTTCACACGCAAATCTCCACCACCATTTCAAAAGAAGACTGATATTCATGAGTCTCACCTTTCTAATGTCTAAACTCCCTTTACTTTTGCTTTGAGTGATTTCTCCCATTTGACCAAATGGATTTTTCTTCTCAGCTCATCACATCTTCAAAGAAATCTAGACTGAATTTTATCCATCTCCTTTGCAATCCCTTCAAGCATTTTAAACAGGGATAAGTAGAAAACAGGTAGGGAGGAGAGTACTGACTTTATCATTGTCAACCTACCAGCAAAAGACAAAAATCTTCTTTTCCAAGAAGTTAACTTTTTTTTGAAATTGTCAATAACAGGATGCCAAGTCCTTATTCTCTTTGGATTAGCACCTAAAGGCATACCCAAATATTTCAATGGTAGTTCTTGATGTAGACAATTGAAGATGGCAGCATATTTTTTAATTTGCTCCTCATGAATACCAATGCCACAAACCACACTCTTATGATAGTTAATCTTTAGTCCAGACATTATCTCAAAGCACCTCAAAATCCTTTTAATATTAAGCACCTCCTCCCTTTTTGGCTCATAAAACAATATTGGGTCATCTGCAAACTGTAAGTGGGTGATGTTTAGATCATTTGAACCAGCAATTACACCTTTAATCAACCCCAACTGTACAACTCTATTAAGCAAAATGTTGAGGCCTTCAGCCACAATATTAAATAGAAAAGGTGATAATGGATCACCTTACCGAAGACCCTTTTGGGGGCTGAATTCAGATGTTGGTGATCTACTCACCAAGATGGAAATTTTAGCTGTTGAAACACACTCCTTCATCCAATTTGTCCATTTTGTGCCAAACCCAAAATTTGAGAGCATAGAAAATAGAAACTCCCAATTAATTGAGTCAAATGTTTTCTCAAAATCAAGTTTTAAAACTATGTCTTGCTTCTTCTTCTTCTTCTTCCAACCATCAACAATTTCATTTGCCACCAACACTCCATCCAAGATGCTTCTTCCCCCTATAAAAGCTGATTGAGACTCACTTATAATCTTTGGCAATACTAGTTTAATCCTACTAGATAATACTTTCATAAGAACTTTGTCAATAGCTTCTTATTTTTTATGTTATCACAACATTTAATTTTGCAAGAGTTTTATTTCACACCCATGTGAGTGTTCCACATATCTTTGTGTGATTGATTTATATTTTATATATATGTATATATATTGTAAAATTTCTTGCAGATACTAACACAGAAAAGTACAAATTTGGAATCAAATGCAATCTTCATTCATCAAGATTCTTTTATATGTAACAAATTAGAAAATCAATTTACTACTTAAAAAAAAAAAAAAAAAACATAATGCCTTCTCTAGTCCTTTGCAAGGTGGTTATTATTGCAAACTTCAACGTACATCCTACCAAGCCAATTTTATTTAAATAATTACAACTAAAAAAAAAGTTGGGCAATTTTCAAAGGAGACTCCGCGATAGTTCCCTCATTATAAGTTTATAGGATAAATTATACTTTGTCTGTTGTATGTTTGGTCATTTTCTTATTTTGGTCTTTAAATTTTTTTTTTTTTTTTTCACATTTAAAGTTTTTCCCAATTTATCCAAAAGCTAATTATATATTCAAAAATTAGACCAAAAAAAAAAAAAAAAACCTATTGATAATCACATGACATAAAAATAATTTATTGTACATAACTTACACCTTTAACACAAAATCCAAACCCAATATAAATAAAAAATACTACATATAATCATATTTTTTACCCCATTTTCTCAATAAAAAATACAAGTGGTGGTTCCCTTATACATTTATGAATATGGGTCCTATTACTTTGTATCTATAAGTGAGAAAATAAGAAATGAATGCTATGGTATAACAGTATTTTATTATAATATATTTTTTATGTTATATGACAACTGACATGGTATTTTTTATTTAATTTTGAACATAAATTAGTTTTAAGAGTAAATTGATAAAAAAATATATATATATCTTCAAACATGAATGATCAAAATGAAAAAATATAGTTAAACATAAGGAAGCAAAGTTTTAATTTATCTAAAAGTTTTGCAAGCTGGGTCTAATAATTTTAGAGGGTCAAATTTTTAACCAAATAGACTAAGACATAATAACATTTTCAAATGCTTTTTTTTCCTTTTAAATTATTTTGAAACTTAGAAAAATTAATAACTTTTTATTCAAGTTTTTTCTAAATCAGTTATTTTAGAAATTAACCGTCAATATCTATTAGATAATACCTACATGAATATAATTTTTTGATTTAAAAAATATCGCAATTGTTACAGAGATTGTTATCCTCAACAATGAGTCTATTTATGCCTAAACTTCAGTAATTTTTTCTATGCTGACCGCAATTTCAAGTTGGAGTTTCTTAGAGTTGCAAAATTGGTTACATGAACCACTCTCTTCTTTATAAAAAAAAAATAAATAAAAAATACATAATTTTAAAAAATTGCTATCCTCAAACAATGAGTCGATGTTGAACATTATTTTATGCTAAACGTTGCGGAATTTTTTCATATAAGTTATTTGAAATTTTATAACTGGCCTACAATTTCAATTGAGTCTTAGAGATGCCAAAATGGTGTACCATGAGCCCTTTCATTTTCTTTTTTTGGAATTTTTTTTAATATACATAAGTTTTTACAAAATGCTATCCTCAAACTATGAATTAGTTGAACATTATTTAATGCCCAAACGTCAGTGAGTTTTTCATTATAGCTAGTAAAAATTTTACAAGCAAATTTTCATTGAGTTCTTAGAGTTCAAAAATTGTGTACCAGGGGCCACTCTTCTTTTTTTCCCCCAAAAAAAAAAAAAAACATAATTTTTACAAAATTGCTATCCTCAAACAATGAATTCAGTTTAAACAATATTTATGCCTAACTGTTAGTGAATTTTTACAAGACTGCAAATTTCAATTGAGTTCTTTAGAGTTTGCAAAATTGGTGTTACAAGGCATCTTGTTTTTTTCTTTTTTTTTTAAAAAAAAAAACTTAATTTTACAGAAATTTCTATCCTTAAACCAGAATCGGTTGAACATTATTTATGCGTAAATGTCAATGAATTTTTTCATTATAGTTAGTGGATAATTTTACGACTAACTGCAAAATTTCTATTAGATTTTCAGGTTTCAAAATTAGTGGTACAGAACCACTCAACAACCATTGAAAATCTTACAAATATAACCCTTTTGAAGATGATCTAGAAGGATCTTACTAGGGTTGATAATGAAATGTTTTTATAATTGAATGGGTTCAAAATAGTATTGATTCAATAGATGGAAAAATTAAAGTAATATTAGCTAATAGTTGAAGGGTCTTCGTATGAAATAAACCTTGGCACTCAAGGATCCATTCACTCCAAAAACATTGAAGCAATATAAAGCAAAATAGAAGCAGCTGCCGCATGCGGGAAATGACCGAAGCAGATCCTCCATTTGCTATTTTGATTAAGAATTGAATGCTTAGCCCAAGAGAGGAGTGCTTTTCAAATCGAACTAATTTCTCTATGGCTGATTAACTGGTGAATAAATACAGGTTCCAGGCCACACAACTATCAGCAACAATCAAAATATGAATAATGCCTCAAAAGGAAAGTACTTTGTATTCCAACCCAAAGAGATCCATCAACAAAATAATTGAGTCGAATTGATGGAATGAATAGAAAGACATTTTATTCACTTACCATGATTGTGACAAAAGCGTTAAAACAATTCATTCTTGAAGAAATCACTAAAGCTTCCACCTTCCCCCTAATGCCTTTGAAGGCAAAGATGAATATCTGATTTATATGATCTAGTGATTTGAAAGATCATAAGAACATAGATAAGAGTACAACACACACAGAAAATGACAATGCAATCAAATGTACTTTTGAAAACTTACAATCACTTTTGATATTGTGGGAAACCATCATGCTCTACATGTCTGAACCCAATTTTTGTTATTCCCATATTTTGTTCAACACTTCATGTAGCGATCCTGTTTGACCCCGTCTCTTTGTTGTTCCGGGCTCGGATGTATGGTTTTGAACGGGTTGCGTTATCTTAAGCTTAGGTTGGCATCTTCCTAAAAAAAGCCAAAATGTCAAAAAAGTCACCATCCTATTAAATCACAACATCTTTATTTAAGTCACATCACCTCTCTACACATCACTTTCAAACCAACCCATATTTCCATTAAAAACGTTCAAAAAGTGCACTGTATTTAAACATCCCAACAACCCTTTAGTTTCCCTTGTATTCCTCTATATTTTGGGTTATCGGGTATAAGTGGTGTGTTTGGAACAGGTTATATCTCCAAACCTTTAGATGTGAATTCAAACCCAAATTGTGCTCTTGGTTAGAGTTGTTCGGAAGTTAATTCTTCATGTTTGCCCATTTCGCTATGTATG